AAGAAATTCTTACTCCAAATATTATTTAAGAAGCAATTTCGTATCAAAACAATATTACAAAATCCATCATACACAATCAAGAGATTGTTCCAGAAAAACAAATTTAACAACCTCAAGAACAAATGTTATTAAGGAAATCCACTATAAAAAAGAGAGTCAATTCTGGATGACTTTAAAATAATTCTCCAAGAAAATAAGGATGACGTGGATTGATGGAAGAATATCTAATTAATCAACTTCATCAAGCCATGCAAAGAAATAATTCTCAAAAGTAGATTGATGTTCTGCATAAAGAGATAAAGTTCATGAGTAACAATGATGTTTGGGAACTCATCCCATTGCTTGGAAATGGGAAATCTATTGTTTGTAACTGAATATTTAAAATCAAGAGGGATTCGAATGGTGATGTGAAAAGATACGAGGTTCGTCTTGTTATAAATGACTTTACTCAAAAGAAAGATATTGACATTAAAGATGTTTTTTCTCCAATTTTTTTGAAAGACTCTTTTAGGACTATTATGACATTTGTGACACATTTTGATCTTAAGTAACGTTAGATGGTTTATAAATTAAAGAAATTCATCTATGGGTTTAAACTGATTTCCCTAATTGTATTACAAATTTCATCAAATAATTATTTTATTTGGTTTTGAGAAGAATTCAGTTGATGATTGTGTATATCATAAGTTTAGTGGGAGTAAGCATATTTTTTGGTATTGTATGTTTATGACATACTGTTTGTCTGCAATGATATAAACTTATTGCATGAGATCAAGAGATTTCTATTATGGAATTTTGAATTGAAAAAATCTTGATGACGTCTCTTTTGTATCGATGATATAGATACACAAGGATCATTCTCGGAGTATTTTTTTGATGAGGTGTATCGATAAGGTTCTTAAGAGATTTGGGATACAGGTGAACTTGGTGATACCTCTGTTGTTAAGGGAGACAAATTTAGTCTCTATTAATGCCCCAACGATAAACTTAAATAAAAGAAAAGGCATAAGATTCCCCTTGCTTCAGCAGTTGGAAATTTAATGTATATTTAGGTTTGCACACATCCGGATATAAGATTTATTGTTGGAATATTAGGCAGATATTTAAGTAACTATGAGATGGAAATTTGGAAAGCAGTGGTTATTCGGTATTTATAGAGAATTAAAGATTACATGATTACATCCAGGAAAATCAAAACAATTGGAGATCATTGGATATTCTGATTCTGATAACGGAATATGACTGCAAAATATTGTCCTTAGGCTGCATATTTTGGATGGAATTGAAAGACCGTTTAACTTATTATGTGACAATAACAGTCTTGTATTTCAATAGGAACTTGGCGATATCAAAATTTATGGACATTAAGTTCATAGTTGTTAAGGAAAAAATTCAAAGTGATTAGATTTCTATAAAAGCATATTAGGACAAACTCCATAATTATGGATCCACTTACTAAATGACTACCACTCAAGATCTTTCATGAGCATAATACTCACATAGATGTTGAATCTTTTGATGATATGCCAGTTCAGTGGAAGTTTGTATCCAGACGTTGTCTGTTTTAGACACATATTTTTATCTATGGATTTAAGTTTATTTCAGAAATAAAGTATTCAGTTCAGTTTCACTTTGATTAAAGTTTACGTTAGATCTCATTAAATAATAANAAATAAAGTATTCAATTCAATTCAATTCCATTCTAATTAAAGTTTATGGTTGATTTCATTAGAGAATAAGATAGGACCAGCTGGAATATGCATGTTTGGATCATATTACAAGTAATTTTCATACTACACATCCACACTTGATCTGTGTCATTTGGTTGTGTTGATATACGTGACCATTGAGAGTTTAGTTATGATATTTGTAACTAAAATCGCTTTGATCCTATATTAATATAATCAATGGACGGGATCGTTTGGAGATACTTTTGGTTATGATAGCAACAGTTTTGACGTCGTAAGGTTATACACATTTATAAGATAAAATACTTGTGGGTCTACATATGTAATTAATTGTGTATAAGGCTATCTTAAAGTTGAGCCCAATTAAAGTGATCTAATAAAGAATTAAATTGTTGGACTTATGATATCTAAATAAAATGTGAGCCATATTATATGTGTAGAGATCAAATCCATTGGAGTTGTATTTGACGATGTGTCAAATACATATGGAAACTATAAATATGGTTATGGTCATCAATTTATATGCAATTTCTCATTCTTTATGTCAATCCATCAACAAAAGAATTAATAGAGAAAACATATTGAGAAGGAAGATCAAGAAACCCACAATCAATAATCTAGGTTACGATTAAGAATCAAGAAAATGATGGGAAAAATTAAATTGAAGAACGAGACAATTAAGATTATGAAGTAAGAAGCAAAAATCAAGATTAAGAACTCAAAAACCAAAAGAGCTAATAATCAAGATTCAAGATTCGGAATCAAGATCCCGTAATAAGAAATTATTCTCAAATAATTAAGGAATGTTCCGCACTATTAATTTTCTTGATGATTTGACATGGATGATCTGGACAATTAAACAATTAGCTTTCTAGTTTTATAAAGTTTAAAATTTCATAAAGTATTCACATTTCTATCTTATTTTCACTTTATTCTCCATTTGCTACGACATGTATCTTTATAGAACAATGTTACATGTACAACACATGTGTTACAACCTCTCACAAGGGAGGTGGGCCCTGCGATTAAAATAATAGTCGGCCACGCCTTCTTTGTAAGAGGTTGTAATCCAAAATTGTACAAGGAACTTTATTGTTATTTTTATGTCTCGTAGTATTCTATTAGTAAACCGAATACTAGTTAAATTCTCGGCAAACTTGTGAGGCTTTAGTGTTACTTAGAGAGAGATTTTAATCTAGTTATTTTGTTTGCACATTAGATTATTTGGAGTTGCGTAGCAGACACATGGCGTGTTTGGTAGAGATTAAAATCAGATTAAAATTGAAAAATTAACTGTTATTGTTGACTTTTATTAGACGAGTGACCCAATAACAACTATATTTTCAATTTTAATTGGATTTTAAGCACGACCTAACACACCCACAATATTTTTTTTATTTGGAATTAGGTCTCTAAACAGCAGAAGTTTGTCTCT